ATAAAAATCACCCTTACTGTCTCTATTTGATAGCGGACAGTAAGAGAGAAGTGTTACTAGACTCATGTTTTTACCTCATCTCATATTTGGTCGATCCATCCATCCATTAACGATTCCATTCATCCACTAATACAGTCATCCATCATTCCATCCATTCATCTACCCAAACATCCATCCATCCATCTACCATTCCATTCATCCACTCATACAGTCATCCATCATTCCATCCTTTCATCTACCCACCCATCTATCCAGGACACACTCGCCTATTCACACCATCATCCACACATACTGTTTTCCCATCTATCCCTTCATCGCTCCCTTACACTCTGGTTGTTACCAGTCTTACTCTCGGGCTCGACTGATTACTTTTGTATAACAAGCATCCTTACTGTCTCTATTTGATAGCTGACAGTAAGAGAGAAGCATCTATCTATCTATCTATCTATCTATCTATCTATCTATCTATCTATCTATCTATCTATCTATCTATCTATCTATCTATCTATCTATCTATCTATCTATCTATCTATCTATCTATCTATCTATCTATCTATCTATCTATCTATCTGTCTGTCTGTCTGTCTGTCTGTCTGTCTGTCTGTCTGTCTGTCTGTCTGTCTGTCTGTCTGTCTGTCTGTCTGTCTGTCTGTCTGTCTGTCTGTCTGTCTGTCTGTCTGTCTGTCTGTCTGTCTGTCTGTCTGTCTGTCTGTCTGTCTGTCTGTCTGTCTGTCTGTCTGTCTGTCTGTCTGTCTGTCTGTCTGTCTGTCTGTCTGTCTGTCGATATTTGTTTGCAAGCACAGCCACTACTATGATTCCATGCGGATGGACTAAGGTCATCCCCACAACCCAACCCCGGTTACGCCCTATAGGCCAACCCCTCCCTCCTTAGACACTCAGTGTACGCTGTTGGCGTCCAACCCGTCCCTTTTTTTTGCAACTACCTGCGCGTTGGAGGTATATAGGCTGACCGTCGATTCATTGAACGAAGTTTTTTTCGCCAGGAACACTAGATGAGTATCATTTATTCTATACATTAGAGTCCTATGTAGTCACTTCATAGTTAGAGCCTATTTGTGTATGTGTACTGTGTTGTCCTTTATGTGCTGATGAAGGCTAATCGCCGCAACGTCCTTTGTTTGTTTATTGTGATCGATTTTGTAAAGCTAACATAAACTAATTGCTGTTTCTTACCAACTTTTTCTCTTCCCTATAATTTTCTACTCCTTATAAAAACTGCAATTGCTGAGGAATGAGGCTTATTTTTAGTACACTCCGAAACACAGTTTTAAAAACAATGGCAAATTATTGATGTAAAATTTCTAAAACTTACTAACACGCTCAGACGTGGGACCAAAGGTACAGTTTTGCTCGGTAAGGGTCAAATAGCACCACATATGTGCGAAAGTAGCAACTTCGGCAGCCTTGGTGTACAGTTGTAAAAAATAACCTAACCAAACTGACCACCGACAAGTTAGCACCCACTTGCAACACAACCGACTATACCTGCCAGTATAAACTAACATCATTGTGATTTTAGACCATTGTTAGTGGCCACTGATGGTTATTTGTGGCCTAGATTACCTGCCTGCGCAGGCTATTAGGTGACGCATGCAGTCTTTGTGGTGGAAAGATCTGAAGGCAAGAGAATCGATTCAGTTGTATAGGATTTTATCCTTACAGTAAACAAATTAAAGGGAGGGGGTGGGGGGTACTTATTGATTTAAAGAAGAAAAAAAAGGGGGGGGGGGGGGATACTATAACAGACTAGGTCAATATTTATTATTTACAAAAAAATTACAAGCAATAGTTATCAGACCAGGAATCTAATTTCATCGTCCCGCAACACTGCATGTCGTTGGGTCACCAGTTGTTGACAGTCTCATTAACTCTCACCACCTTTGACGGTCAGTCTAGTCCACCCTGTCCAGTCAGACAGGTTCTGTATCCAGGTCTGTCTGTGTCGGCCCCTTCTCCTCTTCCCCTCTACAGAGCCCTGCAGTGTTAGATCTTCTTACATGTCCATACCATTGCATTGTCGGCTCTGTGGCTAAGTCGATGCGAACGCTTCGTAATGCCGTGGTACCGGGTTCGAACCCAGCTCCGGGCCATGTGCCTTGCGCTGGTTTCGACAGTGGTATCAGGGGGCCGACCGTCCAGCGAGCAACGGCAAACTACTGGACGTAAATTTGCCTAGAGAAACCACAAAGCAGCCAGGGGCTGCAACGTCCTGGAAAGAATACGCAACTAACCTAACCATTGCATTGTCCACCTTCTCACTATACCTCATAGTTGCCAATGTGCTGGGTAATTAAACGGCAATCCTCGTCAGTTGTAATGTGGTCACTGTATGCTATGCCAAATTAGTTTATGAACGATCGCATTTCAAATGCTTGTGTCTTCATTACGAGTTCAGTCGTTAAGGTCCACGTGTCACAATAACGTGTAAGACTAATAATACTAATGCTTTTAGCAATCAAAGCTTAGTTTTAAATGAAATAAAATCGAACTTATCACCCACAAAAAGCTGCGCGTCCCTGCAAAAACGGGTCTCGCCATCGGTGTCTAGCTAGTCATGCGTCAGAGTATCCTTGTTCTGTGTCCAGGCGCCGTCGTCAGGAGAAGCAGTTGGGGGGGGGGGGGGGGAATTGAAGTTGTATGATCAATAGAGGCCGACCAAGCAGGTGATGGACAGAGAGAATTACAGAAGTCTTGGGAACCCCTATTTACGAAGCACACAAACGGGCTCTTTCCCTTAAATTATACTTCGCTTCGACACTGCAAGGTACCAGAGGATCAAGCTGAGGTGAGATGAATACATTTAGTAATATTAATCTTCACGAGGATAAGTCGAGGGTCAGAGAGCAATGTGTATACAGTGATACAACTGGGAGTTTAACACCAAAAGGTGGATCACCACTCTTAAGAGAATGTCCAACCACGACGAGAGACAAAGCCTGCTGGAGATCCATTGCAGACAACCTTTACTGTGAAAACGGCATCTGATTGATTGTCTGCATTAAGAGGAAACAGATAGCTTTCTCATCTCTACTTCCTTTCTTTCTTCTGTTAGTTTTCACAAATACTTGTAAAACAGCTTTCCGCTGTGGCAATTTGAACACTTACGACACAAGCAGCAACAACTTGCACACATTTTTGCCAAGCCCATTTTGCTTTATCTTGTCAAGCTGTGGATCTAAAACTTATGTTTACCCTGACAAAAAAGGCGGTTGCACTTAAGCGCTAGGGACATTTTTATTGAAGTTAGAAGTGAATAATTAATTTGCTTTTTCTCGTGGCCTAGGCGTTGCGAGTCCAACTCGTAATTCCAACGTATCGCGATCGAAACTCACTGCTGGCTGCGTGTATTTTTTATCATGGTATGTTGCGTCGCAGGTCGACCGAAAGAAAAGTTTGAGAAACACTGTCATAGATCATTGTTGCCTTTTTAGATTTCATGCTTTGCTTCATAGATGTCTTGGCCGTAATAAAATTAGTCTCATTACTAAATTGTCGGTCCTTGTATATAACAAACACAGTGAAACACACTTAGATGTATATAAAGATTTAGCATTTTTGTTCTGTTCACCAAAATACAGTTATGGGACATAGTTTGATCTATCAGAAGATATTGTCACTATCTCATTGTGACTACTGTAGGGTGTTAACGGCAATTCGCGAAAAACAGAGCAGACAAGACGCTTTCACATCATTAGCAGAAGGAAATATCGACTCGATACTAGTTACACAGTGAAAAGCAAACTCGGTTATTCGACGAAAGTCTTACGTTAGATTGCTAGTTAGAATCATCAGACTAAAACCCAGTTAGGACCCACTCAGAACGTTGTCTCTAGGGAGAAGATTTTCAGTTACGAACAGACAGCTCTTACTAATAGATCACAGCGTTAGAATATAGAGGTCCATCTACTGCCTTTGAGGCTGTGGTGTGGCGGTTAGACGCAGGCCTACGGGTTCGAAGGTCTAACCTCAAAGACGAGGCTGTCTTCCTCGAGACAAATGTAAGTTGTAAACTGATTAGAAAGATAAGAGTGAGTCGTTTTTCGCACATGTGAGCAGAAATGGACCCGAGAACTGGCCAACGACGGGTAAGACTGATACACAGTGACCGAACGAACGAACGTTATTGTCAGAGGGGTCACACATTGGGCGCGCAGGCTTATCTTATATTGCGCCCTCCCAAACACTCAACTTTACCGCAGGCTTTTGTATTTTATCTATAAAACATGCTATGTTTGTTTAACAATCTACAGATGCTGAATATCAAGTAAAATAGGCACATTCACGAATGTTAGGTGTATATACACACACACATGCACACATACTCCCGCCCACCCACCACACACACCCACCCACCACACACACCCACCCACCAAACGCACAGCCGCCCACAAACGAATACACATGCATGCATATACATATTCATGATACCCATGCAGAAACTATCATCCTCGCATGCATTTCCACACACAGACTCACACCTATCCATAGTTACACTCTCATATTACGCACATACTCAATTATACCCATACATACACATATTCACACACACACACACACACTTATACATATACTGACGCCCGTACCAATGCATACACACATAAAACAGATACATTCAAACATATCACTCACACACACATATAAATGTATATATAGGTTGTTGCGTATCCTTTACAGGACGTTGCAGAACCAACCCTAACAGCCCCTGGCTGTTGTGTGGTTTCTCTATGCAAATTTACGTCCAGAAGTTTGCCATTGCTTACTGGACGGTCGGCCATATAAATGTACACACTCAAATACACTTAGTATCAAACACACACCTGCATACATGCCTACCAAGCACAATGGGAAGGGGGGAAAGAAAAGAAAGATAAATATCTAGATAGCTTAGCCACATGGATGGGACGAGACAAGAACAATGCTTTCTATGTGCCAGTGGGGTTGACATTTGTCATTGATGGATACATATTTGCCATTCACAGTGAGCCAACAGACATTATGGGGAGTGGCCCAGATGTTCCGCACGCGAGCGCGGTCATTTGCTTTTGTCTGTATCCTAGTCCTGATGGTGTATTCAGGTACGTATGCGATATTTAATTGGTAAGTGAATAATGCAGATTTTCGCAAATAATATTGTTCATATAATTACAAAACAGCAGTGACATGCACCCCCCATCCCCCTCCCCAGTATTAAGAAGATTTAGCAAATATAGCCTGAAAAGCAAATACGTTATGAAAAGGCAAATATATTCTAGTTAGAAAGTTACTTAGTGTACATATTTTCCTCACTGCATTCAGTCCATAAGTGCTCTGATCCCCTTCGCAGTAAATCCCGCAGCATGTAGCGGCTGACGACACCAGCCCCATGTTGGTTTCTTTTTCTTCTTTGCTTCCTGCATATTACTCTTGACTGGCCGCACCCCTTTTGATATGTAGTTCTTGCAGGATGTTCATGGTTGCCGATTCACAGTCATAATTTGGTTCTCACCAACGCCTTACTTTTCGTAGAGCGTTCAAAATGTCTGGCTGGTCAATGGCTCTATCCTTCACGGTAGCTTTCCCTGCAGGCTTATCAGCCTGTTCATTTCCTTGCACGCTTGCATACCTTTGCACAGAGATGAATTTGGTGTTTTGCAACAGAAACACAAAGAACAAGCTTATGATACAGACAAAGCAACAGGAGCTTGTAAAAGCCTGAACAGATCTATGGAGAACATATGGTTTTAAAACAAAGTAATTTATGTATTTTCAGTTCTAACGTTATCTAATTTTTAACATATAGTAGTAACAGTGGAGAACTGCTAAAATGGAGAGAAAGTTTCCTAAACAAATACTTGAGGAAACTGAGGAACATCAAAAGAACTGACTTCAAGAAAGATAAACAAATGCCTAGGTAAACACTGATATAAACGGCTACAAGACAAGGAAAATGGTAATATATTGTGCTTATACTGAAGAGAAGCTGACAAACAATCACCAGACATGCATTGAAATAGAGAATATGTGGCACACTTTTAATAGAGCCTTAGATGAACTTTGATGACAGAATCTAAAGGTGTTGGACTCGATTGATGACAGAATCTAAAGGTGTTGGACTCGATTGATGACAGAATCTAAAGGTGTTGGACTCGATTGATGACAGAATCTAAAGGTGTTGGACTCGATTGATGACAGAATCTAAAGGTGTTGGACTCGATTGATGACAGAATCTAAAGGTGTTGGACTCGATTGATGACAGAATCTAAAGGTGTTGGACTCGATTGATGACAGAATCTAAAGGTGTTGGACTCGACTGATGACAGAATCTAAAGGTGTTGGACTCGATTGATGACAGAATCTAAAGGTGTTGGACTCGATTCCATCTATGATACCAGTCAAATACCACATAAGAGAATATAACTGAGAAATAGACTGCAGACCCTCAGTGAGATATTTACAGCACAACCGGATGATGATGAATGGTTCATAATATTTGTAATTCATATGTTTTAATAGAGAGGATAAGTGACATACTGCCCTCAACAAAGTTATCAGTCACTGGAGAAAGATGGAATATAATGAGAAGTACATTCATAGAAAAACCGAAAAGCAGGCCTTGTTATCTTGATTTCTCAAGATAAGTCAGGAATGGATGTGCACGCATGCACGCGCACACACACGCGCACACATATACACACACAGTCACAGACTCACAAACTCTCTCACTGTCTCCCTCTCTCTCTCTCTTACACACACACACACACACAAAGATATGCATACAGGAACCTAAATATACACACATCACGCACACACATATACAAACTCAGAGGGAGAGAGAGTGAGAGACAATATGTATAAAGCAAGATTGTAAAGAGATATCCTTTCCTAGCTGTTGACATTTCATTTTATTGTACAGAAGACAAAGATATATTTTTAATCAGTTCGACATTGCTTTGGACCAGTGCAAAATATTTGAAAGAACAGAAACCTCTTCAGTGCAAAAGTAGACAATGGAAATATGACTGCCGTGACTTGTGGCTGTGCTTTGTTTAAAAAGAAACAAACTAGTAAAATATCAGTAGCAGGAAAAGAAACTCATGGGATGAATGACAGATCATGTCTTGTTTAAACAGCATTCTCAATAATGATGGACTTTGAAAAAGTTTTTCACAAAATGGTCACAAACATGATGACTACAGACTGATCCAAACAACTCCGAGGAAATGTATATGATTAATAGCTGAGAATTTATTCACACGTCATCCTCAATGATAGTGGACTTTAAACAAAAAAATTGCTAGATATAATGTCCACAGTAAGATTATGAATTAGCTTGACTACATATTAGAATCCACCATGGTGTAGCAGCTAAGTGTTAATCTGAGGATTTAAAGGTAATGGATTCAGATCCTGACAAAGGCATACTTTTTTCCCCTTAAAAAATGACCAAGAAAAAAAATAGGTACCTGGTAAGACCCTGGGAAACCAAGGCAACCGGTGTGATGTTGACCACATAACCGAGCAAGTGCCAGTTGGTCTACTAAATGTAGGTCTAGCCCCGTGTGTCCAATATGCCTGAAGACAGGAAAGAGGGTCATGTACTCCCCCCCCCCCCCCCCCTTTTTTTGACGGCATATTGATTCCAGAGAGTTCTAAAGCATTATTATTAGGATCATCATCTTCATTGAATGTCTTGCCAGCAAGCATGAACAATAATGCTGTTCAGCATATTATGATTTCAGAAGCACAAGTAAGTTCATGGGAGTTGCCGGCTAGACGCTTGCGTGCGGATCAGAAGGTAGTAGGTTTGCTCCCTGGCAGAGCTGGACTTTTTTTCAAAATGACCTTGACCCTTAGTTTGACCCAGCCTTGAGTGGGTACAAGGTGCAGTCCCGGGAAGTAATGGCGATTGGTTTATAAAAATACAGGTGTTGACCTATATGCCGTATATGCCTAAAAGAGTGAAAAAAGGACCTTTATATAACTTTACAAAAAGTTCATGTGCATAATGGGCTTGCCTACTAAAGGAATTGTCCAGGTTTAATTCCCAACAGATGCAGAATTAGTTTTTCTCCTTCAGTACAGTTGTTGGGGTCAGTAAAACCTCACAAAGGGAGCCCCAGACAATCTTAGATCTGTCTAGGAAGGAGAAACTATTCGTTTATGCCATTCAGCACATTATTATTGTTGTTTCTGTTATTATTTATTAATAATATTATTCCAACATTATAAAGAAAGCTGTAAAGAATACTTGGTGTCCAGTAATTACCACATGTTACCATTTTCCTCTTCTCATAAGGTTGTCAAATTGATGACCACCCTTTATGACCATATTGATGTTTATGATAAGTTGTCTTTGTGTGTCCTAGCCTCTGTCAACATATTTTAATTATTCATTTAGGCTGCCTGATAAATTTTAAACATTATTTTGTAGAACGATTGTTGCATTATCACTTCTTGATGTTATTAAATGCAGCTTTTACTTGGCCTGTGCTGTTCTGTTACTTACATCATCTTATGCTGTTCATTTGCTGTTAGTTACTTTAATTACTTTTGTCAAAAACTGTCGTTGACTTTATTGCATCAGTTAGGCATGGTCCTATTATTATATGTTACTTTTATTAATATCTTCCAGTTATTTAGACTCAGGTATTTTCTTTTTTAAAACTTTCTATAACCAATGTATCTGTTATTTTCTGTAGTTCATTCTGGCACATAGCTATCAAGAAAGTTCCCTCAATATATCCTATAATATTGTAACATCAAACTCCAATCCTTGGTATATTTTCTACAGATGTCTTTATATGCTCTGTGTATATATAATAAAAGCAAATGAGGAGACAGTATAAAGCCTTGTCTAATACCTTTTCTAGGCAATGTTTCTAAATAGTTGTTGATTCTTAAACTACAGTTTGCAGCAAAATGTGTTATTTGCTTTTGACCAATGTTTAAATTGTTTTATTTTTTTTCTACAGTGCTGTGAAAATCTTTCATTAACATTTACACTTTTTTGTCTTAAATTTTGGTAGTAACTGATTTATAAGCTAAAGATCATCCCATAGACACTATTGCTACTGGGTTGGGAAATGTTAGGCCTACCTGTGTAATAATCATCATCATCATCGTTGTCATCATCATCATCATCACCATTGTCATCAAGTGATAATTGTGTTTTCTTTACTGTAGGTTTCCAAGTCATCTACATGCCAGTGGAGATGAATATAGTAAGTATTTAGATACATATGCTGTATTGAGAGAGACAGCATTGTTATGCTTACATAGAGTTGGCTAGCTCAAACAGATCACCATGTTTACACAGAGGGAAGAAACATGGCAAAGCAGATATCATCACCCTGTACGGACTGGGCTAATGGATAATGATACATCTCTTGACACTAACACACTTGCACGGCATGGGAGTAAAGCATGGTGAAGCACGTCTATGTTGAGGCCAAGATAGGAGACATTAAAACCAACTGCATCGGAGGACTAAGCACACATGGAAATGCCCAATGTGCAGTGACATTTATTGTGATAACATAACATGCACAGTGTGCCACAGATGGGGGCCACTAGAATAATTTGACTACAAACATATCCACTGCAGCATGTCTGTGATCCTCCAAGGGGAATTATAGGATAGAAGACTATGTACTAAATTGTCATAAAATGTTGCAATTATTGTTTGTTCATCACAAAAGATAAAGACCGCTGTATCTTTAATCCGTCATGAAACTATAAAATTATATTATACAGATATGACAGGTGTCAGTTCGGTGGGAAGTGTTGAGGCATGACATATTTGATCTGAATCTTTAATTTTTACACTGAAACATAAAGTGGAACTTAAAGAAATTATAAGAAATTTGAAAACCTTAAGCACTGATGATAAAGATATGAGAATAATAAAAAAATATATACCAGCAGCAAGAAGCAGCCATAAGGATTAAGAACCAAGTTGGAAATTTTCCAGACAGTGAACAAGGCATTAGACTTTAGAGAAGTCACATTAGACACCCGAATAATTCAGTTTGTACATGTGTCAGAAATATCGGTTGGTGAGCAGATTGCTTACAGCCTGCGATTTGCTGATGATATAGTTTTGATCGCTCAAAATGAAACACAACTGAAAGAGATGATGGATAAAAGGGTCTTAGTTTGAACGGCAGAAAAGCAGTAGTCGTTCTTACAATGAAAACTGACCCTTCAAAATGCAGTAGTAAATAAAGTAAATTGGACAGCCTCAAACAAGTTGATATGTTTAAGTACCTGGGTATCCTGATAACATCAGATGGAAAATGTATTAAGAAAGTCAAATGTCGAACAGCTAAAGCTGTTAATGTTAATTTTGTGCGACTGTTGTTTACTTCAAGTCTGTAAATTTTTTTTATAAAAGAACATATAGTACATTACTTGATATTTATTTGGTTAATGACATCTATTTGACATTCTGATGTGTGACATTTTCATATTAGCCCTACCAGCAAGAATTCATTGCATCATCTGAAATGTGATATGCTGTTCTGTTTCTCACTTTCTTTCATAAGTGACTACTGCTGTGTACATACAAACTTGTTAACAGTTAAAGTTAGTTAGCTTGCAGATCATCCTCACATTGAACCAGTCAGTCCATAAGTGCTTGGATCCCCTGCTCAGTACACCCTACAGCTTGAAGTGTAGCGGCGGATGTCACCAGTTTTGAAATACATGTTACTGTTTAATTAATAAAATACAAATACAGTTTATAATATTTAAGGTGAACTGAACTGCACAATAAATAAATAGACCCCCCACAGCCTACACACACACACACACACACACACACACACACACACACACACACACACGCACGCACGCACGCACAGAAACAAAGTTGAAAATTTTTTTTACAGTTATTATCCTTTTCGTGGTATTCATGCATCTGACACATTATTTTGTACCTATATTTTTTTATAGCCAAATGGTTCTCAATGGTTGATATAGAATGCAACATCACAGACTGCCTTTATTTCCCAGGACATCACCTTGTACCTATATTTTTGCATGGCTAGACTGCAAGCTCAGGGTAGTTATAAAAATCCAGTTGATTCGGATTCTGACCTAACACCAGTTTTGCCCCTGTGCATGCAGGTTGCCTCCAGTGTAGAACTGTGACTCACTAGACAGTCATGTGATTGCCAGTTATTAGCCTAAAAACACTTGGAGACATACCCAGAATGAGTTTGGAGCACGTATGGTCATGTCCAGTGTGTGATAAAGATGATCTCTAAATAAACAGTAAACAAGACTGGAATGTGATATCAACTATTACATTATTGAGATGTTTAAAACTTGTTTAATAGCAGACAGTTATTCATCAATTCATTTTTCAATTCACAGTGCCCAGATCCCATCAGAGGCAAAGACTTCTATGGTCAGTCGGAGGAAAATATAACTATAGTGACAATGTACCTGAATCTAGGTACACATAGCAAAACCTCATTCTTCCTGTTTTCCAAGGAAAAATATGCTACAGATCAATATAAATTATGGCTGTTGTCATGGGGAAAACTGCAGAACAAGGTGGTAGCTTTCTTTGACGATGATGAATTTATTAAACGGTTTAGGTAAGTAGCTTTTTTTTCTTCTGCTGTAGATTTTTCTTAAAATTAAAGTTGTCTGTGGCCTATACGTTGTGAACACGCATTATGGTGCCGGGTTTGATGCTAGCTCCATGTAATTTGGCGGCAGACCACCTTGCATTGGTTTCGACAGTGGTATCGAAAACCGTCATTTCAGGATGTAATAGCAAATTACTGAATGGAAATTTTCCAAGGAAAAACCGTAAAAGCCAACAAAAATGTTTGGGTAGGCCCTGCAACATCCTGTAAAAGAAGGACAGGCGAGAAACTTTTGTTTGTTTTTAAAATAATAATTATAATAATGAATAACAATAAAGGTTAAGCTAGTCTTTCTAGATTCATCACAACAACAGATACACCATTCAACATTGTAATAAGTTAAAATTCAGACACCTTAACACTGCAGGCAGTTTGACAGTAGTTTGCTTTGCCTTAATTTTGACAGTGGGTATGTGTGTTGACTTTCCAGAAGAAAATGCCTTGTAAAACCAGAAACAGCCAACTGATACTGGGATTTATTCGCAAGGCCCTGTTAAGAACAGGAACCACCCCCCCCCCCCCCCCCTTTACATGTCCCCTTTAGGCCTTCCCCCTCCCCCTCCTTTAAAAAAAAAATTACAGCTGCACACCAGGTACTACCCTTATTTACCCTGCTTATATAAGGCAGGTGTGGATTTAATACCCTGTAATGTCGATTTAACATCACAATGACCCTTTGAGCCACCTATTGCGTTAGTGTTGATGTGTTTTGTTTGCTGTCAGATTGATCCCAGCCTTTGATCTTAGAGAGCAGCCTAGATGCATTATTTGACATCCCACACCTGTGGGCAAATAAAGCTGCATTAAATTGAAAACAGTGTACTCAATCAGCGTCTGTGGCTTAGGCGTTGCGAACATGCTTCGTAATGCTGGGTTCGATCCCAACAGAGGGCCTTGCGTTGGTTTTGACAGTGGTATCAAGAAGCTGACTGTCCAGAAAGCAATGGCAAACTACTGGATATAAATTTGCCTTAAAAAAACCACAACAACCAAAAAAAGCTAGGGTTGGTTCTGCAGCATCCTGTAAATGATTCACAACTAACTGTTTAACTACTCAGTTGTACAAGGTATCTGAAAAATAGGCTTCCAACTTATTTATATCCCGTATGTTCCTGGACAAATGGTATATCTCACATTTATTCCTTTACAGATGGTTTATTTCACATGTGTTTCTGGACAGAAGTTCTAGCTCCTGTATGTTCCTGGACAGATGATTTATATCCCATTTGTTCCTGGACAGCTGGTTTATCTCCCATATGTTCCTGGACAGCTGGTTTATCTCCCGTTTGTTCCTGGACATATGGTTTATCTAACACATGTTCCTAGACATATGGTTTATCTCCCGTATGTTCCCGGACAGCTGGTTTATCTCCCATATGTTCCTGGACAGATGGTTTATCTCTCACATGTTTCTGGACAGATGGTTTATCTCCCGCACGTTCCTGGACAGATGGTTTATCTCCAATATGTTTCTAGACAGATAGTTTATCTCCCTTAGTTCCTGGACAGATAGTTTATCTCCCTATGTTCCTTGACAGATGGTTTATCTTTCACATGTTCCTGGACAGATGGTTTATCTTTCACATGTTCCTGGACAGATGGTTTATCTCTCACATGTTTCTGGACAGATGGTTTATCTCCTGTACGTTCCTGGACAGATGGTTTATCTCCAATATGTTTCTAGACAGATAGTTTATCTCCCTTAGTTCCTTGACAGATGGTTTATCTTTCACATGTTCCTGGACAGATGGTTTATCTTTCACATGTTCCTGGACAGATGGTTTATCTCCTGTACGTTTCTGGACAGATAGTTTATCTCATGTACGTTTCTGGACAGATGGTTTATATCCCATATGTTTCTGGACAGATGGTTTATCTCCCGTATGTTTCTGGATAGATAGTTTATCTTCCATATGTTCCTAGAAAAGATATAAAACCGAACGAAAAGTATATTAGCCAGCTTCACAATATAACAGATACAAACAAAACGTGAATGTTGTGGCTATTGAGCCTTCATCAGCACATACAAATGAAACAATACTACACAGATACACAAAATCACTTAGCTGGTATCTCAGTTGTTTCTCAGCAGAATGACGTGCAACGGTACTGGTTTCAGAGCACCATTTTGCACATCCAAAAGATGTTGTCTGAACCTGTCGGCCAGCCGAAGATCTGTTTCACCAATGTATTTCATGCCACATCTCTTGCAGTTGATGGCATAAATGACATTGCGGCTGGTACAATAAAATGCTTCACATATGTGGAAGGTGGCGTTAGGGAATTTTAGACTATCCACCTGGACCACATATGGACAGGTTCTGTATACAGGTCTGTGGCAAGAGACCGTTCCAAAGTGGGGCTCAGACGCTAGGCGTAACTGCATATGTTCCTAGACAGATGGTTTATCTCCCACATGTCCCTGGACAGATGGTTTATCTCCCGCGTGTCCCTGGACAGACGGTTAATCTCCCCTATGTCCCTGGACAGATGGTTTATTTCCCACATGTCCCTGGACAGATGGTTTATCTCCCGCATGTCCCTGGACAGACGGTTTATCTCCCCTATGTCCCTGGACAGATGGTTTATCTCCCATATGTTCCTGGACAGATGGTTTATCTCCCACATGTCCCTGGACAGATGGTTAATCTCCTGCATGTTCCTGAACAGATGATTTATCTCCCATATTTTCCTGGACATATGGTTTATCTCCTGCATGTTCCTGGACATATGGTTCTCCCATATGTTTTTGGACAGATGGTTTATCTCCTATATGTTTCTGAACAGATGGTTTATCTCCCATATGTCCATGGACATATGGTTTATCTCCCATATTTTCCTGAATATATGGTTTATCTCCTGTATGTTCCTGGACAGATGGTTTATATTCCATATGTTCCTGGACAGCTGGTTTATCTCCCATATGTTCCCGGACAGATGGTTTATCTTCCATATGTTCCTGGACAGATGGTTTATCTCCCATATGTTTCTTCACATGTGATTTATCTCCCACATGTTTCTACATACATGATTTATTTCCCAGTTTTTTCCTACACGTGTAAGCACACACACACACACCCACACTTATTATGTATACACACCACTTATTTTACTATTGTCTATTGTTCTCAGGGACATAAGGTCACATTTACCAGAGTCCTACACAATCATCACCAAGATTGACAAGAGCCAGTTATCAGCATTTCATCAGAAAGGCAGGATAGAAAACATCATTGCCAATCCATCTTTCACAATTTCATATCCAGCTGAGTACACTTGTACAATGAATGCCAAGTATGATGTCTTAGACATGGCACTCAAGCAGGGATTAATAAAGTCAAAATTTATGGCATGGATGGATATAGGACTATGGAGGTAAGCCGGAAGGATTTGCTAGTGTTGACTGGTTTAGATATCAGTTGTCACACTTAAAACCATGGCTGAAAGAGGGTTACCAATATTTCTTGTACTGATTTTCCTTATTTAATTTTTATCTTGATCATCATTTTCTGATCCCATTAAGATGTCATATGTCACCTTGGACTCGGGCCATCTTAACATATGGGCCCGTTGGGCATTGCCCGGGGCCCCCACGAGCATAGGGGCCCCATACTAATCTGTATATGTCAAGTGACTTGCAGTGTAAGAAGTTTGTAGTTATTTCATACTGTGCCATCTAGTCTGTGTTTATGGTTAAACACCAGTTTTGTTGAAATGCTAGTAAAATAAATATATGTTTAATAGTATCAACAATTTCTAAGGGTGGTTGCTGTATGGGCCACACTACAGTAATTTGCATAGGGGCCTGTAGACCCATAGCACCAATATGATGTCTCTCTTTAGACTGTGCTGCATGGAAGGGGGGGGGGGGGGGGGGGGGGGGGGGGTGATAAATCAGGAAAGGAAAAGGGACAAAGTAGAACTTGATTGCAGATAGGTTGAGAGCTGAGTGTCTGGTGTCTGACAAGCATCATGTTTAATACAGGTGTTGGCAAGAATGGTCCAGAAATCTCATGCAATGATGGCTGGATATTTTTTTTTTTTTTTTTTGATAGTGAACAGATCTTGCCAGCCAAAGTCTTATTGCCACGGGCCGTGATTGCCATGCCTCAATGAGCAGAGGCAAATTTTTTGCTTCTGCCGTACGGTGGCCAAAGTATTTTTGCTCCATTTGTAGACTGGATATAGTTTCGTCGCCCAGCTTCTGAGTTGAATGCATGGAGTGACCCTGTGAGCTGAGGATTGCATTTGGAATGTATTTTTGACTGTGACCAACGTGGTGGTGTGAATGGTAGATTCAGAAAATGTTGGCGGTGCCCGTATCTGGTTAAAATTGATCGCGTGGACAACTGCTGAACTGTTGGCGACAAGTTCTGCTATCATCAATGATGAACTGCATTTCTAATGTTGGACTGTTTGTGTTAGCACTTCGGATGGCTACCGTATGCTTTAATGCGAGTGTATGCTAGATATGCTGAGACAGCAGTCTGTCAATCTTTCCACAAGGGACTGTGATAAACATTCTGGGTGTTTTTCGTTGGCACAGGAGCGGAGCAAAGATGGGGCGACCCGTTGCTATGAAGCTGAAATTAAGACTACCAGACTAGACCAACATAACATAACACTGTAACCTAGAACAGTGTCCTTCAACTCCTGAGCTGTGGCCCACTGGAGGACCCCAGAAAAGTCCCTATAGAGTGCAAATAAAATTCTGCCTAATCCTATAATGGGGTTATGGTAGGTGATTTTTTTCCTTTCCAGTCTGTAGCATTTAACACCTCAGGGACTTCATGTTTTCTTAAAAGACTCTCTCACACGTATCTGTGATAAAAACTAAATAGAGAAATTGAATCGATGTTACTGTAGTACTTGGTATTTCATAAACCATGATTCAGCCCCAAGTTATCAGTTAACCTGTAATCACTAGCAGTTGTTGCAACCGCTGGGATTTGTAATTTTGTGACATAGATTTTAACAAAGAAAACTGCTTTTTACATTTGTTTTTCTTTCATGCTTGGTTAGCTGTCAGGTGGGTCATGAGACGATTTTCACTGTTTTATTAGGTGTAGGTGTGAATAGGTTGGGGAACATTGATCTAGAAAGACAGAAAAGTTCCAGCAGTGGGGCTCAAAGTTGATTCTTCTGTTTTGTCCTTTTAGAACTATTTTAATAGTGTGTGTGGAGTTTTAGCCCACATCTTTGGACTTCTTCATCAGTGTTTGTTGTAAGTTTTGACTTAACTGTCGTCATTTCCCCAATGCAGTTACAGTAGAACCTAGATTGTCTGGATCATGATTATTCAGACTCTGTATTTTCCAGTCTAGTAGACTACTACTGCTGCTGCTGCTCCTCCTCCACCTTCTTCTTCTTCTTTTTCTTATTCTTCTTCTTCTTCTTCTTCTTCCTTCCACCTTCTTCTTCTTCTTTTTCTTATTCTTCTTCTTCTTCTTCTTCTTTTTCTCCTCCTTCTCCTTCTTCCTCATCTTCATCCTCCTTCTCTTCTTCCTCTTTTTTTCTTTTTTGTGTGTGTATGCCTTGTGAGGTTATTACATGTAAGTGGGCAGACTATTTTATTTGATCTGTTTATGAAATTTAATATTCTTCACACATCTCATTTCTATGGTTAGTAATTTGTTGTTCTGATTTGTTGTGACTGACCATGTCTGGTACTGGCAGCATAGGTTGGGGACGAATGATTTGTGTGAGATGTTTGTTTACCCTGATTGGTACTTTCTTATTTTGTAAGAGAAAGTCTAGCTGTCTCAATACTTGATTAGCTTTACTGCATGTTTTTTTGGGGGGTCAGATTTACCATCTTTGATGAATACTGACAGATATTTAAACTCAGATGCTTGTTTAATACCATTGCTTTCTTCTGCTATATTTAAGTTAAGTGTGTGTTTGTGTGTGTGTATGTGTGTGTGCGTGTGTGTGTGTATATATATATATATATATATATATATATATATTTATTTATTTATACACACACACACACACTCCCTTTATAAAACATATACTGTGTTGCATATTTAAAAAATAATTTGTTCATATATGTCTGATCACAGCAATAATTTTTTTAAATATAATTTGTTGTTAATCTACAGAAAAATACAGGAAGATCAGTTTGTTTGTAATCTATAGAAAAATACAAGAAGAAGGGCAGTTTGTTTTTAATCCAAAGAAAAATACAAGAAGAAGGGCAGTTTGTTTTTAATCCAAAGAAAAATACAACGAAAAGACCAGTTTGTTTTTAATCTACAGAAAAATACAAGAAGAAGATCCTTCTTATACACTAAAGCTTCCTCCAGATTTCAACTCCTCGAAGATTGGCTTTTCAGAAGTGACACCTCGGCACTTGTTGTCTAATCTGAGTCCTGTTGAGGTTTACAAACAGAATGTTGTGTGGGTGGCTGGGGGATTTGTTCTTGGAAGCAAGGAGGTAAAAGTGTTTTTACTGAGAAATTCATAGTATTTGTTGACAATCTTCACTTATAGTTTGTTTTGGTGTGAGTCACTTATTGATATATTCAGAACAGGAAAGTTGTAGATTATCATGGTAGATACTGCCATAGGACTGTGAAAAGTTAGGCCATCACCGATTCTAAGCCAGGTGATGCGTGATAACCAGTGCTCGTCATTACCACTTGATTTAACAGTTAAAGCACATTTTGAATCCATCAAAAGTGCAGAAAAGCTGAGAATAGAGAGTGAGAAGCAACAATGAATTTCAAATTAGTCTGTAAAATATTGGTGCTCTTCCCATATGCCCGATGCGCCTAAAGGCATGAAAAAGGGATGTTTACTTTTTTTTTTTTTTTTACTAATTACACAATGCTGATAATAGACTGTGGTGGCTGGGGCATATAGAGAGAATGGCAGATAACAGAGGGAGACAAAAACTATGTACACAAAAAATAATTGGACTGGATTATATTATGAAGCAGACCAAGAAGACAGTGGAGAAGTAATGTATGTGCAGACCTACAAAAACATGGAGTCACCAACTGGAAAGAGTAGGCCAGCTAGAGAGATTAGCAGGGCAGATGGATTCTGCAGAAATGTACCCTAATGGCTTGGAATTCTGAAGGAAAAGAAGAAATTGTTTTCTAAGACTAAGTTGATTCATGTTGAAAAATAATAATCCTGTTATTAATATATTTCATTCAGGACGAAGAAAAGAAAATACTAGAATATGTTTATCTAAGAAGTTCTTATACTGTATGTATTTATGTACTACAATGTTATATGTTTATATGACCATTTTTCCTTGCTTTTGCACTGCTTATATGTGATAATGACAGTTATAATGCTAGATTTGAAGACATCTGTGAATCTAATTAGATCAGATGAATTGGCATTGACAATAAGGTCACTCATTTCTCCTTGTAATTTTCTGACAAAGTAATGATCAGGCACCTTCTTTATTACATTAAAAGTTTGCTTAATAAATTTCACTCACTGTCTATGGTCCTTACCATTTACTCAGTTTGTGTATCTCTTGAAGTTATCCTCCTGGATCTTCTGACTGAAGTCTTTCTCCTGACCCTTCTGACCGAAGTCATCCTCCTGAACCTTCTGACCAAAGTCATTCTCCTAAACCTTCTGACTGAAGTCATTCTCCTGACCCTTCTGACCAAAGTCATCCTTCTGGCCCTTCTGACCAAAGTCATCCTACTGAACCTTCTGACCAAAGTCATCCTCCTGACCCTTCTGACCAAAGTCATCCTCCTGGCCCTTCTGACCAAAGTCATCCTCCTGGCCCTTCTGACCAAAGTCATCCTCCTGGCCCTTCTGACCAAAGTCATCCTCCTGGCCCTTCTGATCAAAGTCATTCTCCTGACCCTTCTGACCAAAGTCATCCTCCTGACCCTTCTGACCGAAGTCATCCTCTTGGCCCTTCTGACCAAAGTCATTCTCCTGACCCTTCTGACCAAAGTCATTCTCCTGACCCTTCTGACTGAAGTCATTCTCCTGACCCTTCTGACTGAAGTCATTATCCTGAACCTTCTGACAGAAGCCATCCTCCTGACCCTTCTGACCGAAGTCATCCTCCTGACCCTTCTGATCGAACCATTTGATTCTTTGATGTTCTCTGTTAAAATCTGCTAAGAAACCATTTAGTATGCCTACCATTGTTCTTAGTTCTTCTTTGGTGACTCTGTCTCTTTTTGTTTTTCCTCATCATAATTCTTTTTACATTTTAACTTACTTTGTTTTTCGAAGACTGTCCATGTCTGGCATTTACAGCACAAAGTTAGAGCATGTAATACATTTAAGTTTAGTTTATTTAACAGATTAACATTAGGCACATGGGTGTAACCAATAAGTGCCCCGTTATACTTCTAACTCAAGTTTGAGTTAGAAGTATCTCAGCGCAGTGCTTTAATTCTTTTGCACAGGCTGGGGTTCTGAAGACAGCACTCGAGGCGGATGTCATACCTCGAGACCACGCAGCCCCCCCTGTGCATATATCATATTTTTCAACTGATTTTTATAAATGCATGATGATAATATGCATGTTGATAACATCTGCATTACTGCTTCTGTTTGACAGGTGGTAGCAGAGTTTATCATATCATATCAGAAGACTTCACTTATACTCCTAGATCAAGGTTTGGCTGACACAGATCAACAAGTCATTACCTCTATGTACTCTCCAGGCATGGCAGCGAAGCAGAAAGTGGAGATAATGACATATGCCTGTCCCAGGGGCTCATTTGGCCTGTTTGGCTATTCATATTTGTATTTTTGTCTACCTTATATATGCCGAGCTAGTGCTGAATGTAAAAGCAGGCAGCTAGTCAGTTTTGTAGGTAGTGACTTGACGTTCGAACAATTTGAGAAAACGCATTTCACTAAAACGTGATAGCTAGAAATAATTTTAGATTTGTAACCCTGTTAGTTTACATTAGTGAAGTCTGTTTATATATATCTGTATATGTCTATACACACACACATGCAAGCACACCTACACCACATACCACTCCACACTACACCACTCCACTCTGTTCATTTACACTTCATTGCATTTTCTGACCATTGTTACACACAAATACACACGTAGCCTAAACTCAGTATTATGTTTCTGTGTTAATGTTGTGCATCAGTGTGTGAATACTCAGAAACTTTGTTTAATATACATTGTTTATGTTACCTAATGATATTTTGGTTTGCTTGCTATGTTGGCTTGATTTTGAATTTTAAATATGTAATTATAATAACTTTAAGGTGTGTTTCATTACATATTTCCAGAACAGATCTGAAAATACAAGATATTGGCTCAAAAAAAAAAAAAACATCACATTTATTAACTCTTTGAGTATCATACTATTTCGCAAGATATTCCCAAGTGTAGCAGTGGCTACAATGAATATATGACTGTCACAGATGTAGCAGTAAATATACCTAGTTTGGGCACTGAAATAGGTGCTTTATCAATATCTTACCCCGAACAGGGGAAATCCACAGGTCAAGGGACAGTCTGATATTTCAGGGGATGGTAGATACGCTGCATGCAGTCGTGGGACTTGGGCTGCACTTTCTTGTGGGACGTAGGTGGGTTAGGGCGAGTTCTAGATGTTTTAGGGTTGTTAAAAGCATCAGAAAGCCGGGAAACCCAGTCTTACCACCCTCTAAAATGCTGGAATGCCCTGTGACATCATCTGGGGTAGGATATTATTAAAGCTGCCTGAAAAAATTAGTCAGGTTTCTGTAATATGTTTAGGCTATGCATCAGATCATAATGTTGGTTGTTTGGTATACATGGAAATAGCTGATCACCCGTGGTGTGCTTGTTGTCCCTGAAAGAATTAAAATATTTTTTAAAGCAATGTTTCATTTTATGAAAAAGTAGATTCCTGAAATTGTATACTTCTTAAAAGATTTTAGTCATTTTTGACTCATTTAGGACACCTGTTGTGAACTATGCAGGTATTGTTCCTTAGTATTACTCAAAAAAAATTTATATTTATAAATGTTTTAATTTTTTTTAAAGTCATTTATGTACTTGTATGTTTATTTTATTTATTTGTTTTTTACTTAAAATCATTAGTTCATGTATTTTGTTATTTGTTTTTTGTGTGTGCATGCACACTATACATACACATGCATATACATACACAGAATAATGCTTCAACTTAGACACACACAATTAATTGAAAACCTTTAACCATCTGACTACCATGATCACAAGTTATGCCATCCACCAAAACGTATGCCTGGCTACCTTGATAGCACCTCCCCCCCCATGCCTGTACCTTGATAGCACCCCCCCCCCCCCCCCCTTCCCCACCCTCGTAACTTTGGACGCTCGCCAACTTGTTAAAATTGTGATTTGTGCGATAAATGTAGTTAAAGAGAGCAAACTGGAAGACATGCCTTGTAAAAACTGAACTCATGAATATAGTTTATAATACATTAACCCATTTTTTATTCTCATCAAATTGTGTCTTGCTGCTAAGCATAGGAGATTATAATTTTTAATCTCACATGATCACCTGATCAGGTATGTGTTTTTTTTTTCCCAGTTATATCGCTTACACAGCCATAGGTTTTAATCTTTTTGTCTTCTTTTATCTTCTTTGTCATTTGTTTAAATAGTATCCGGAAACCATGAGTAACTTTGGCTCAGTACTATGGATATTGTAACCCTTAGGCCTTGATTCCATGATAGATACCGTAAGTCTGGGAGAAAAATGTGGCTATTCTGCCTACCCCCGGGCATGAAGTCGTACCACAAGGAGTTCGTCACGTGGCCACCACACAAAGGGTCTTAACCAACTGTGCTAGTGAGCCAGGCTTCCTTTGTCATTAAATTTGCCATTTGTCAATAAATGTTGGGGTTTATTTCTCCAGATAACACAAATACAAATTGTGGGTGTTCAGTATGCCTGAAGGCATAGAAAAGGGCCCTTTTTCATCTGATTTCACAAATCGGCTTTGATTTTATCTTCTTGAAGGGCAACCTTTTATGTTTGCATTTCTGTGGCACATGCCTCAGATATTACACTTGTAATACCATAAGATACTTATTAACTTTTTGCTTATTGTTCAAGGCTCCTTATAGGTTTTATGCAACATTTTAGCAGTCTTTTTGTCACTGCATTTGACAGCTTTCTATTTGTATGCTTGAAATATCAGAAAAAGACATTTTTTGCCATGGCAAAATATGTTTATTTATACAAAGCATCTCTTGTCTATTGCAGTGGTGGTTTTTGTTAAATTCCACCAGTTTGTCAACTGCCAAACTTTATCAGTCTTCAAGGTGAAGTGGTTAAGATAGTATAAGATCCTTGAAAGTTGTCATTGGTGTTTCATGGTTTCATTCTTTGTGCTGTTATTTTCTGCAAGCAAACAGCCACTTGACAAAGCCAAATCGAACCAAGTGTTATAAAATCCAGATAACGCAGTTCATCTTGTCATCTTGCCTTGTACAATTTTTAAAAAATTACAACATATTTTATACATTTAACTACCCCACACAGTTATACCTGTTTTGGTTTGAAGCTACATTTTGGCCATCCATGATTAACTTCATTCTTCTTCTGTGTTCCATTTGTGAACTCATGCAGAAAGTCCAAGTCATCTGAGTCTAGTCTTTGATCTTATTCCATAACTTAATTATTGCATGCACATTCATTTACCAGATCTGGCTTATTGTGTCCTCTATCCCTCATCTCTCCAGCATATGACCTCTGGCTTTGAAGGAAACTAAGCCTGTCCATGCTGACCAGGCAAAGAACCTGTCCCCAGGATGACCAGACAGAGAACCTGTCTTCTGTTTACCAGGCAGAGAACCATCCCTGTTGACCAGGCAACCTGTCCCTGTTGACCAGACAGAGAACCTGTCCCTGTTGACCAGGCAGAGAACCTGTCCCTGTTGACCAGGCAACCTGTCCCTGTTGACCAGACAGAGAACCTGTTCCTATTGACCAGACAGAGAACCTGTCCCTAGGTTAATCAGGCAGAGAACCTGTCCGTAGGTTAATCAGGCAGAGAACCTGTCCCTGTTGACCAGGCAGAGAACCTGTCCCTAGGTTAACTAGGCAGAGAACCTGTCCCTGTTGACCAGACAGAGAACCTGTCCCTAGGTTAACTAGGCAGAGAGCCTGTCCCTGTTGACCTGGCAGCCTGTCCCCAGGTTGACCAGGTAACCTGTCCCCAGTTTGACCAGAGAACCTGTCCCTGTTGACCAGACAGAGAACCTGTCCCTGTTGACCAGACAGAGAACCTGTCCCTGTTGACCAGGCAGAGAACCTGTCCCTGTTGACCAGGCAGAGAACCTGTCCCTGTTGACCAGGCAGAGAACCTGTCCCTGTTGACCAGGCAGAGAACCTGTCCCTATTGACCAGGCAACCTGTTTCTGGGTTGACCAGGCAGAGAACCTGTCCCCAGGTTAACCAGGCAGAGAACCTGTCCCTGTTGACCAGGCAGAGAACATGTCCCTGTTGACCAGACAGAGAACCTGTCCCTGTTGACCAGACAGAGAACCTGTCCCTGTTGACCAGGCAGAGAACCTGTCCCTGTTGACCAGGCAGAGAACCTGTCCCCAGGTTAACCAGGCAGAGAACCTGTCCACAGGTTAACCAGGCAGAGAACCTGTCCCTGTTGACCAGACAGAGAACCTGTCTCTGTTGACCAGACAGAACATGTCCCTGTTGACCAGACAGAGAACCTGACCACATTGACCAGGCAGAAATCATATTCCTGTTGACCAGGCAGAGAACCTGACCACGTTGACCAGGCAGAAATCATATTCCTGTTGACCAGGCAGAGAACCGTCCATGTTGACCAGACAGAACCGTCCATGTTGACCAGACAGAGAACCTGACCATGTTGACCAGACAGAGAACCTGACCCTGTTGACCAGACAGAGAACCTGTCCCTGTTGACCAGGAAGGGAACCTGTCCCCAACATTACCACATAGAGTTGTCGCTAGGTCTTAACCAACATGATCCCTGGTCCTGGTACAACTCCATATCTACAGGCTACTCCTCTGTCTGCTACCTACTAGTATTCAACAACAGTAAACTCTGGCAGAAAGCTCTGGTCGTTCCTCCACTTCTGGACTGTGGGCTTGTTCCAGAACCTGAGTTTTGCATGCACATCCATTTTATAGTTAAAATTTGTAGTTAAAATCTACCCAATGTATTTCAGGATTCTCGCTGGTGCTAAGGAGTTCACGCAGTGAGTTGAGATTCTTGGCACTCAGGCTCAGGTTAGAAGAACAGAGCACTCATGGGTTACTACTCTTGTGCCATGATGTTGATCCGTTGTGTCAAGCAAACCAAACCATTTTACATATCTGGTGTAATCATATGCAGACTGTTGGTTCTTTGCCTAACAGGCAGATGCACTCTGACTTTGAAGATGTCATGCTTGTTATCGAGAACTGGGTCTATTCTCTCCCCCCACCCCCTCCCACAATGGGGCCCTGGAACCCATATATGGGTGAGCCTAGTATGACAACAGTGAGACTTCTCCCCAATGTAGCTGTTGACAGTTATAAAATCATGAATGCAGCCATTGAAACAAATAGAAACATGTTTTCCTTTGAATAAATACTTTTGCCTACCAAAATAATAATCAGGGTTTAATCACCAGAAGTGGCCAGATTTTATTATAATCATTACAGCTTTTGGATCAGCCCAGCCTTTTAAAGGAAAGAGTACCAGACACTTTCTAGAATTTTCTAAGAATTGTCTTGGATAGAAATGTAATGAGAAAAGCTATTGGTCATCCTGCTTCATATGCATTCTGCTTCATATGCCATGGCCATATGTGAGAGCCTGCTGCTACGTGACTAGCTTTGCCTTTAATTTAAAATATTAATTTCCATCTATGCTTTATTGCTCTTGACATGTGGG